CACACACACACACATACAGTTGGGGAAATAATTATTTGTACACATGAAAAATTGTATTTTTATAAATGTAAAAGCCTTAACTAAAACAAATTTTGATACATTTTATGTGTAAAGATACATTTTATTAAAAAATAGTAATAAACTTAATTCTTATTCTAACAGAAATTAATGCATTTTTTTCATTTATCTGATGAAAAAAGTATTCGTCCAAAACAAAAAATGCATATTAACTTAATTTAATACTTTGTGGAATATCCTTTATTGAGTTCAACAGCTACCAGTCTATTCCTGTACGTCTAAACTATTGATTTGCACACATAGAGTGGTATTTTGTCCCATTCTTCTTGGCATATTGTCTTCAAATTCTTGATATTTGTTGGCGCTTTGTTCCCAATTTGAATTTTCAAATATCCTCATAAATTCTCGATTGGGTTCAAGTCTGGGGACTGACTTGGCCATTGCAAGACATCAACGTTACTTTCAGCTAACCATTTCCTTGTAGATCTAGTGGCATGCTTAGGATCATTATCCAGTTGGCAAACTCAATCAGAAGGTAGCCAAAGTCTCTCAACAGAACACATTAAATTGTCTTGCAAGATTTTCTTGTAACTTTCGGTATTCATCTTGCCATCTATTATGATATTCTGCCAACACCTTTTGCAGAAAAAAAGCCCCAGATCATGATACTGCCACCACCAAACTTTACAGTTGGCAACATGTTCTTTGGTAAGTAGGCTTCACCGTCCTTCCTCCATACATGATTTCCATAATTATGACCAAACAACTCTATTTTAGTTTCATCTGTCCATAGTACTTTTTCCCAAAACGAATATTCTTTGTCCTTATGCTCTCTAACGAATTTTAGCCTAGCATCTCTGTGTCGTTTCAAGAGGAGTGGAGTCTTCCTTGGGATGCGTGATTCCAGACTGTTTTTGTGTAGTCCATTACTTATTGTACGCTTGGTTACTTTAATTCCTAATGCACGCAGATATCCCTGCAGCTCTTCTCGGGTAATCTGTGGATTTTGTTGGATCTGGCGTCCTAATATCCTTGCTGATCTTAGAGAAATCTTACTCGGAGCACCTGTTCGTCTTTGGTTTTCGACGCTGTTACGAGTTTTAAACCTTGCAATGAATGAAGCAATTGTAATAAAAGGAATATTCAGGTTGTTAGAAATCGTTCTGTAATTTTTCCCATCTTTCCAAAGAGACAAAATGTGTTGTTTTTTTTGTGAAATAGTCAATTCTTTACCTTTAGGCATTATTAGAACCTTCTCGTAAGACTAGAAATTGCAGAATGCTCTGATAATGGCTAATAGCGTTAACTATAATTACTGATAACATTCCTGGAACATTCTAGAATATACTTTTTTTCATAATTAATTGATTATTTTATTCTAATAATTGATTTGTACCAATACTTTTTTTCACCAGTTATAATTTAAAAAATGCATTAATTTCTGTTAGAATTAGAATGAATTAAGTTTATTATTATTTTTTAATAGTATATGTCTTTATACATAAAATGTGCCGAGATTTGTTTTATTTAAGGCTTTTACATTTATAAAAATACAATTTTTCAAGTGTACGAATATTTATTTCCCCCCTGTATATCCTTTTACACACATATATCCACTCGGCCATATATATTAGAGCTCTTCCTTTTTTTGCTTATCTGTTTATACATATACACATATACATGCCCATCGATGTATACCTGTGTATACATGCATAAACCCACGCCTTTTTACACATCATTGCTTTTTATATGCATACTTGTACACACATTTTCATACATACATCTATTTATATATACCTATACGCACAGATATATGTATATGTGTCCCCACTCATATACTACTGTACTGTATAAACATTTCGAATTAAATTCGAATTATTACCGATGGTGCAGATGTGACAAAAACTTAATCGCGTGTAATGTTTACAGTTTCTCACTTAGCAACAAAATCTTTTAGCGGCATGTCGTTAAGCGAGGAGTAGCTATATATATTTATCGGAATAAAAACGATCGAAAGTTGAATGAGGTTGACTAGGTTAGGAATCTAGGTATATCGGTCGCAAATAATTTTTCCATTTAACGTAAAGTTCCATTGTATCTTCAGTGTTTCTCGATGTACAATTGTAACCGACATTTGTTTTATTTCTTTTCTTATTTTCCCTCCATCGATAAGAATATATTAGTCTGAAGAACTCTTTTCAAAGACAAAAATACGGGATGTAACAACAAAATTGTTCAAATCATATAAAAGCAAAATTCTCCATTTGTTAGATTAAGCATTGAACTGTTGTATCTTAGAAATGATTAAAGATATCTTACTGGAATTCTCCGAGGTTTTTATAAGACTATTGAACTCTACTTTGAAAAATAATAATGTATAATTGCTCTCCAAGCTTCACAGAAGAATCATGATGAAATCGATCATTAATGGAAATGATATGTTCATCATTAATTAATCATAGCTAAGGATCGGAAGCACATGAAGAATTGAAATTACATAAAAATATATGTATGTATATTATTACAGGATAATTTTCAACTTAATCAAGATGATCTTCGTCCTCTCAAACTTTCTAACTTTCTGTACTGGAGTAACAGGTTTCACGTACAATTTCATTTTCAAGACTTTTTTCACTGCTCATTGGACTCGTCTCTAAAAAGCTCGTGCCAAATGGCTTTTGGATTGAGTTGGATCTTTTCCAATTGATGTTTTAGCTCTAAGTTGAAATGATGATCCCTCTTCTTGTTGCAACTTCTGATCAAATTTTCCTATCTATTGTTCTCTCTTTTTTAAACTTATACACCGTTTGCTTGATGGTTCTTGAATGGACTTTAAAGATGTAAGCCGGAGTATGAATGTTGTTACCATTACTAAAGGCCTCAATCATCTTCTTTCCTCGCACCATTGTTCATTTGTGAAGACAATGAGGCTGACACAAAACGATTTTAACCTGTTCTCTTTTTAGCTGAATAACTCAAATGTTTTTTCAGTGATTCTTACGACAAGATGGCTAAACATCCTATCTGAAAACCTATAAAAAAGAAACTCAATTCACTGGGGATTTTCTTTAGATATTAAACATTTTGTGGGATGGACAATTATGCTGTAATACAATTTGGACAATTTTGGCTTTACACTCGGTACATAAAAGAGGATATCCCATATATATATATATATATATATATATATATATGGGGAATGTACAGTGTATTAGCAGTATTGTTATAGTAGCACTACAATACGATTTATGCGCATGTTTTATTTTTTTTACTGTATACCTACATTTGCATCCGCTAAGCTATGTCTGTCCCTTTGCTATAGCTCTTCAGAACTTCTTTATTCCTCTAAGCAATGTTTGTTATCTTATTATTCCACCCAGTCCCTGTTCGGCCATCCATTTACACAAGATTGTTTGGAAGATTACTCACCGACTCCATTTGTCCTTTCAAGAAGTGAATGATCATATCTCTCCACAATTTCTTTTATATTGCTCTAAGCAATGTTTGTTATCTTAATATTCCTCGCAGTCCCTGTTCGGCTATTCATTTACACAAGATTGCTTGGAAGGTTACTCGCTGTTTTTCGTCTTTTTCTACTGCTATTAGTAACTCTTGTGAGTGTCAAACTCTCCAACCACTCTTTCCTCATTATATATCCTAGATATTCAAATTATCTGATTTTTTCCTGCCATTGTCATTAAAGGTCCCTCGTTAATCACAACGCCTTAATTCACGAGGCTATAGGACATAGTAATTGTAAGTTCAAACCCTGGACCGGGCAGTATGTACTTAGGTGCAAAGGGGCGAGCAGTAACTATTACTAAATGTAAGGACCAGGCAGCGTTTCTTTAGACATAGGCAGAGAAACGAGAACAGTCTAGTATCGATTAAATAAAGGGTTCAGTTTGGAATTCCCTGTAGGTTACTCACAGATCAAGATACGCCTGATGAAGGCCGGGGAGTAGGACTACCGAGACTTTGCGATAACAACTAAGATAGCGACAATAGTTCGAATATAAATAGTGTATATAAGCTGCGCCATCTGTGGCCACCATTGTATCTCGGGCTAATTATATCCGTTCTCGATTTTCTCCTTTTCACTTCTCCATATTTGAAATTTGATGTCTGGCTACCAAGTTTATATAAACAAACAAAAAATAAATACAATCGCTCATCTACCCCCACCCTTTTATCGATTGACCCATGAATTATACGAGCTAGGTCACCAGCCCAGACACTAAGAATTTGTACGTTTTCTCAACGTTGATCGACAGGGATAAAAGAAGCAAGCCGACTTCAACCGTCAACTATTGATTCAAACTTCATGAGGCCAAGTGGATGAAACTGATTCTTTAGTTTTGTTGTATAGGCAAGAGCCTCTTGAATCAATACAAAATTTTCACTGACTCTTTAGCCACGTAAGTGATCAAATAATTAGCCGTTTCTCATATATCCCGCTCTAATTTTAGCCTTGAAAATCTTGGTGTGAGTTCTCAGGGCACATATGCATCGAGATATGAGTGAAAATTCTTTTTTTCTTTTTTTTTTTTTTTTTGTTTGTTTGTCTTTCGTTTAGAGATATTGTCAGCTGTTGTTCTATGCTGAGGCAACGGCTTGGAAGGAAGACCCACTTGATAACCAACCAAAATACAGAAGTCAGAATAACAAGGCGTGGCCGAAAAGTTTCCTGCCCCCAAATCAGTTGTTAAAATACTGGTGAAATCAGTTGGATCGATTAAATTTCGACACCCTCTCTTAGACATTAATATGAGCTACAAAAATTTAAAAAGTAAAACTGCTAATTTAAACATATCTGATACATAAACACACGCGCGTGCGCATACACACACACACATCTATCTATCTATGTACGTACACACGCACACACACATATATATCATATAATGATAAAAGTTACAAAACTTATCTTCCGACTTACTCCACTCATTAGGGAAAAAAACAAAGCAATTTATCTCACAACGATGAGGAGAGTAATTTCTGGGAGACTTGAATTCGGTGCTAATACTAATATCTATCTATCTATCTATCTATTTCAGTCTGTTTATATCTATCTATCTATCTACTTCAGTCTGTTTATATCTATCTATCTATCTATCTATCTATCTATCTATCTATCTATCTATCTACTTCAGTCTGTTTATATTTATCTATCTATCTATCTATCTATCTATCTCAGTCTGTTTATAACTATCTATCTATTTCAGTCTGTTTATAACTATATATCTATCTATTTCAGTCTGTTTATATCTATCTATCTATCTATCTATCTATCTATGGTAGTATTCTATCTATCTATCTATCTATCTATCTATCTATCTATCTATCTATCTATCTATCTATCTATCTCAGTCTGTTTATAACTATCTATCTATTTCAGTCTGTTTATAACTATATATCTATCTATTTCAGTCTGTTTATATATCTATCTATCTATCTATCTATCTATCTATCTATCTATCTATGGCAGTATTCTCATTATCTATCTATCTATCTATCTATCTATCTATCTATCTATCTATCTATCTATCTCAGTCTGTTTATAACTATCTATCTATTTCAGTCTGTTTATAACTATATATCTATCTATTTCAGTCTGTTTATATCTATCTATCTATCTATCTATCTATCTATCTATCTATCTATGGCAGTATTCTCATTATCTATCTATCTATCTATCTATCTATCTATCTATCTCAGTCTCTTTATAACTATCTATTTCAGTCTGTTTATAACTATATCTATCTATTTCAGTCTGTTTATATCTATCTATCTACTTCAGTCTGTTTATATCTATCTATCTATCTATCTATCTATCTATCTATCTATCTATTTCAGTCTGTTTATATCTATCTATCTATCTATCTACTTCAGTCTATCTATCTATCTACTTCAGTCTGTTTATATCTATCTATCTATCTATCTACTTCAGTCTGCTTATATTTATCTATCTACTTCAGTCTGTTTATATCTATCTATCTATCTATCTACCTATCTCAGTTTGTTTCTACCTATTTATCTCAGTCTGCTCATTTCTATTTATCTATCTTTCTGTCTGTTCATATCTACGTATATTTGTATCTATTTCAGCCTGTTTATATATATCTATCTATCGTAGTTTATTCATCTCTCTCTCTCTCTCTCTCTCTCTCTCTCTCTCTCTCTCTCTGTGTGTGTGTGTGTTTATATCTATCTCATTCTGCTGTTTTTATCTCAGTTGCAATAAGTTTGTCTTTGTAATTCACCCCTGAAGATGATCTTAGAAAAGATCGAAAGTACTTGGGTTAGAAAAAATTTTGGCGCCTTACTTGATGAATTTCATGAAATGGACTAGCGAATTTGAAAGAATCAGTATAAAATAAATAAACCCAATATGTCTATATTATTTAATGAAACATTATATACTATATTAATTCTACGTTTGATAATTTTATAATTAGAATGGAACAAATTTAAACAGTTCGTTAATAAATCCTTTCCTTACTTGATCAATAGATTCTGTCTGATATTTTGAAATCATTTTTGATTTGCTTTGTAACGTGGAGGACTTCAAGTTTGTATGAAGATATAAGAACATACTGATCTCTGCGTATTCCTATATCAACGGAAGGGATTTCTTAAACTGTTTATATAAAATAGTTCAATCGACCTTTTTTAATATTTTAATATTTTGAAATCATCTTCGAATACGTTTTCACAACATCGCCCACGTGACGACGACGGGATCATATTTAAACGGAACGCTGATCTTATATAAAAATTTCAGTTATCTGTTTGGATTAGTTGTGCTCTTATGTCCATCGTCTTTTCATGTTGAATTTTATATGTTCTAATGTTAATTATGTTTTATGAATATGTCCTGATGATGGTCCAAAATAGACCGAAACGTCCGACGTTGACTTTATATTAACATTAATACAGCATAATTGCATATTAAGATTTTTGTTTGTTTTTCTGTATATTTTTTCTTCATACTGTCGGATCTATATCCATATATTTGCTTACACACACACAAAACACACACACATATATATATATATATATATATATATATATATATATATATATATATATATATATATGCCAAATTGGAAAATTTACCTGTGACGTGTTTCGACCTTTAGTCCGACGCAGGCCTAAAGATCTAAACGCGTCACAAAAAAGTTCTAGTGTACACACACACACACACACACACACACACACACACACACACACACACATACATATATATATATATATATATATATATATATATATATATATATATGATAACAATATAGCTTTAAGTTATGGTATATTTATATCAGGATAGGTATGTAAATAGAAAAGAGAACACCGTGAGTATTGCTCTAGTGGACTAGCAAGTATGTCACGATTTGTGCAAAAGGTCAGGATTTTTGACTCTCCGGGCATGTGCTCAAGCTTCAAATAGACTGTCACCTCTCGATGATGATCATCTATTGTCTGAAGATCCCTGGAAACGTTAATTGATTTCTTTGTTCAGACAGCTTAAATCTAGCAACAATCCTTTGAGCAATCCAAGGCAGGATGAGTGTGTGTGTAACGAATGTACGCCGCAATTTTCGACGGATTTGCACCAAAATTTACATGCACATGCTTCAAGTTAGTGGGAAGGCCAAGACCGACTTTGCATTTCCCAACTCCCATCGATAGTGGAAATAATCGATATTTTTATGCTTTTACGGCAGTTTTCATGTAGTTTGCGGCCATTTTGTACTGGCCAGAGTGAGAGCCAATGGCTGGCTGCCAGAAATAGGCAGGAAGATTCTATTGGCCAGCGTGAGGGCCAACAGCTGACTGGCACGAATGTTAACTAGCATGCAAAATAAAAATCGATAGCTCCATTCGTCACAAGTGGGAAAAATTTAAATCTGCATGGCACTTTACTACAATTGTTTCATTCGCTTGCTTAAACTCAACGTTGATTCTGATTCCGCAGAACTGGGTTGGGTGTGAAAAAGTATTTGTTGTTAACATTGTTTTTGATTCGGTTTTTCAAGTTACGAGTCCTTTTTAAAAGCTGATCGTTTTGTGTTCATTTTCTTTAGTTTTTTCGTAACAGATTAATGTTTAGTATAGAGCTTAGAAATAATTCGCAGTGTGAGATAGGCAAGAAGTAAGGCATGTAGCAACATCAGCACGGCAAAGGGCACTTCTTTAAAGACAAAGAAGGGCAAAAATATTTTAAGTCAAGTGATAGCGATTGCTGTATGAGTCGTACGATTTTTTAATCAAGTACGGGCAACGCCAGGCCATGCTGCTAGTATATATATATATATATATATATATATATATATATATATATATATATATATATATATAATATATATTTGAATATATATATATTTGAATAATATTTATATCTATATATATTTGAATAATATATATATATATATTTTTTGAATATATATATATATATATATATATATATATAGGAATGGAAAAAAAAAAAAAAATATATATATATATATATGGGAATGGATAATGATTCTATTAATACGACATATTTTGTTTTATTGTTTAAGCATTATTTTTAGTGGACAGCAATATTTGAGGCCGATTGATGGAAATAAATAAATATAAAATATACTGTTTGTTTAATAAACAAAGAATCTACTCAAATATGGAAATCTATTAAAAATGACGTTTTTACAATGAAATCATACACACACACACACACACACACGCACACGCACACGCACATATATATATATATATATATATATATATATATATATATATATATATATATGTATGTATAAACCTATTGAACCAGTCTAACCACGTACGCGATTGAAAAACCTGTGACGCACCTTCGTCCCACTTTATATTCATGACTCATGTTATATACATGTTTAAGAAAGATGGTGTATGGTCGACTGCACGGATCTGTTAATATTTCATAAAGAAAAAAATCGATGATGACCATATATCTTTGCACGACAACTGATTTCCCCTGAAGTTGCTTGCATTTATTTTGCTATATCAATGGGTCAAGCCACACAGGAACAACTGCTTAACTCACGTGCACTTGTTGTCGGGATGTGCTAATTAATTTGAAGTTTGTAGTTTTCCTCCAAAATGAAACACAACCACAAGTTCATAAGCTATGCATCGATACCTCAACAGCATCTGACGTTCTCCTCAATGTAAAATATTTAAAATACTATTCCTGATCCTCTTGTGGATTTTGTTGTTGCTGTTCTTTTTCTTCTTCTATGTGCAGTTTCCCTTCTTAAGCTGAACAGTTATAGCTCTCCACATCTTCTTATCCTTTGTATCTCTTAGTAAAGTTTGTACTTTCACAATCCCTATCACTCCCTATTCTGCAATTCATTTACACGAACCCGTTAAATATGTTAATCGATGTTTCTCTTCCCTCTCTTGACCACAGTATATCCTGGGAGTATCAAATTTTTCAGGTTCACTTTTTTCCTCATTATGTGTCTTAGAAGTTTCAAATATCTTTCTTATACTTGGGTTATAAATTCACTTGATTCCATGAAAACAAATCAAGCCGGCAATATTAAAACAATGAATATTTTCGAAGATTCTGCTACCAAGGAAAAAAACGAAAACGAAAGGAAATTGACATTATAAAGAAACATTTCCCTTGGACTTAATCAAGGAAATGCTGTTGAAATGTTATTTGCATCTTCTCATTCATTGACTTCAGGTGTCACTTTTTCATCGCGTGGCCCCGGTTTACTTCGGATAGGAGAGGCTCAAAAGCATTACGGTCGTCACTGGACTCAGTTATCGATTTGCTTCATATTATATATGTTATACCTGACGTACCTATTCTATTATTAATAGACTCTCCCACACATAATAAGTAGTCGTCGTAGTAGCGGTCGCCAGTTGGGCTCAGTGGTGTTGAGTGAGTCAGTCGGTGTCGGACATTGAAGTACCAACCATCACAACTAGATTGCTGCGTCATTAACACTTATTTACAGTTCTTAACGTTTTGTACGTCGAAACTAATTTAGGACGACTTATTGAAATACAAGCCTCCACTGTAAAAACTACTCTACAACAATATATTCATCCAGGTCCATACAATGCTCGTCTTTCGTACTCTTAGCAACCTGGGGATGCTGTTTCAAAGGAATCGTACGGGTCTTGGGACTGGCTGGCGTCCAAACATTTACTGAGTTCATTCGTTGCGTTTCCCATAACGGAGCAAAGGCTTCCTGATGATAGAAGGTACTTAAGAACCTTTCTGAACTCATCGATTTGCCACGGTATATATATATATATATATATATATATATATATATATATATATATATATATATATATATATATATATATATGTATATATAAATACATGAATTATTCACAAAAACTAATGCAAAGGTTAATGGTTTAAATGGCGAGACATCCATCATCGCAAACAATTCAAATAGTACACAAAAAACCTCCAGATCCGTTATGAATGAATTGATCCTTGTTTATATAAATTTCTGCCGTATTAGTTGTTTTTACTAGAAGCTTTCGTCTGTTCCTACAGACATCTTCAGGTATATAATAGATGTTGTTCTTGTTTTTTTTCTCTTAGTAATAAGAGGACATCGAAAATATATGTTTATTGTATCCGAAATGCTATTGAAAATGAGTTATTGGTTTTGAACGCGCCAAAGCAACGCTGAGTTTGATTTTAAATTTTTTAAAGTGTTTGCGTTTATACCAAATATGGTGATGAACAAATTTTTACTGGTCAAATATGTATATGTATATATATATATCTGTGTGTGTGTCTGTGAATTGGAATCAAATATTGATTAGAATCCTACACAATGATAGGATAACGAACAAATAGGAAAGGTTTATAAATTTAACATATTCTCCTTTTATTCAAGCTTCATCAGAATTTTTTTAGAAATTAATTATGAAAGAAAAAGTTCCGGTGCTTTTACTTCTGTATTGTTTGTTTTTCATTGGTCAGTTAAACATCACGTGTCTTTCTATTCTGGTGTTAATGTGTGTGTGTGCGCGCGCGCGCACGTTTGGATTCTAGCGGCGATTTTTGTCGGTCTGTTAATGTACATGGGTATGATTTTTGAAGTTGGTGCTGAGATGGTAATGAGATGCAGCCATGTTTGTGTATCATATTTCCAGGTGGTCGGGAGGTGTTTGGTGTAGAAGTGGAAGGTTATATCGGCCGGAGATTTGTGGATCTTAGATTCTTTAATTACCGGTTTTATGAAAGGTGGCAACTTGTAAAAGGTTTTTTGGCTTGTGTTTATAGATGGGAAAGTGTTTATTAGTATCCTTTCCAGATATTCTCTTCGTAGTAAAGCATGTTCCTTACTTATATATATATATATATATATATATATATATATATATATATATAACAGGCCATAACTTCGATTTAAAAAACGATAACCTAAAAAGTAAGGAATATGTTTTACTAAGAAGGGCTATGAATAGAATGAATTAGAAGGAATACTAATAAACACTTTCCCATCTTTCGCCTAAAAATAATTCATATCACTAAGTTACACAGACACACACACATATATACATATATATATATATTCTCGTTCGATCATTTCTCTTTACGAAACATATCTTAACGTAAACAATGACAGCATAATATGAAATGGATTTTAAGACAATTATTTAATATATTTTCTGTTTATAAAAATCCATATAATAATTCATTTCATAACATGAAATATATATATATATATATATATATATATATATATATATATATATATATATATATATATATAAAGTGAACATTGAAGTCAACGCTCAGAGGCGAAAGGCTGTTTCATGCTAGACGCAATCGTCAGGCCGATATATATATATATATATATATATATATATATATATATATATATATATATATATATAAATACCAATTAGAGATAATTCCAAGGAGGAAATTAATTCAAAGAAAACTCAATGTAAGTAACATAGCAATATAATAATAATAAGTAAAGACAATTCTTAAAAATCTATTTGGCTTATAATTTAGTTCATGAATATATTTAAATATTCATCTCTTCAGACCAAAGGTTTTTTAGAAATTAAATCAATTTGTCCACACAACAGCCTATTGTTAGAAACAAAGAAAAAGTTAATCGATCCTGGACAATCTACTTGGAGATTAAGAAGAAATTTGAAGCAATAGAAATGTGGTTCTACAGCATAACCTGGACGGAACGTGTGAGCGACGACGATGTTCTAGAGACAATGGCAACAGAAAGGACACATACTTAACAGGAAGAGAGAGTTAACATTTCTGGGGCACATAATGAGGAAAAAAAGGGTTGGAAAATTTGATACTCCCAAGACAGATTGAAGGTAAGAGAGCCACGAGGGAAGCAATGCACATCCTAGATGGCGTGCTTGTGCGAATAGATGGCGCAGCAGGGTATTGGGAGAGATTTCAAAAAGACAGAAGTTATTAAAAGAAGAGGAAATCGTGGAGGGCCGTGATCAGCAACTTCTAGAACAGAAAGGGCACATAGAAGAAAAAGAAGCTAAGAAAATCACCGTTTTTTTTTCATATTTTCTACATAAAGAAAAGAACACTCAATTCAAAAAGCACTTGCCAAAACTGCTTATTTCTTTCGCTTATACCTCTTGTCCAGAGCTTGTGTATTCATAGGCAGTCAATAATTAGAAGGAAATAATTAGATCGGTCAATATGCCCATTGTATGTAGGTTCAATAATTATAGCTTCTTTTATTGTGACTTGTGATGTTATTATTTTACTCCCCCTACCTCTCTACCCTATTAGCTCTTTCGTTTTCTAATCAGTTAGCTCTTTCTCTCTCCCCTTTCTTCTTCTCCTCTCCTTTCTCTCTCTCTATATATATCTTCTTCCTTTCCCTTTCTCGATGGCTTCCTTTGCTCCTTACCTTTGTCATTCTAGGTTGATATATGAGCGTGGGTGTACGAGGTGTAATTTTATATAAACGCAAAAAACTAAAAAAAAAAAAAAACATTTTATAGTTACGAGTAATTGAATAATTTGACTCATATTCGTGTGTGACCATCACTGGATGTGTTGGCTATTTTCATGTTTCCCCACTTTGGTATTGCCTCATAAAACAGAAGCACTGAGCGAAAACGGCCCAAAGCAATAAATAACGCGGGAATGAAAATAAGAAAATAAAATCTTCCATGGACAATTTAAAAGGAAGATAGACACTGTTGCAGACGAGCATAAATGGACATGGTTACGCAGAGAGCATTTCAAAAGAGAAACATATCCCATCAGAATAAATGTACCGGGACTAATTACAAAATAGTGGAAATAGACGAAACCCAGAAAATAAGTTAAATTTAGCCTCTATAAAAAAAAAAATTAAAAAATGTGTCATCAGTCAACATTTTAGATAATACAGAAAATGTAGTTGTTGTTGCAATCCGTGATGTCTAACGAAACACGAAATTTTCTTGATACGCCTGGTGTAAAACCGCAACGACTGATAAACTCCTTCAATTTTCTCAAAAGTCTTCTCCTGCGCCTCTGCTTTCTCCTTTACACGATTCGCCTTCCACGTTCCAAAAGAGACTCCATTTTTCTAACTGCCCAGACGCCGGCGTTCAGCGTTTTTTTTATCTCCTTTTCTGCCTTCCTTCATTTGCATGCGTGAATCCACTTCTCGTGGCTTTACGAGACTGTGCGCGTGAGGATACGTGACCATTCGCAATACTAGCTTGCTGGGGGCGGCCATGTTTCTTTTTCCGGTCAAAAAGATAAGCCTTGCACGCGGAACATATACGCTGCCGTTTGCGATCAGGTGGAAGAATATTTTCGTTCCAATTATCACTACAGAAAATAGGCTCGAATGGAACATATAAAAAAATCACGACTGGGTAGGAAGATTCATAAACTGGAAACTGTGCAAAGACTCTGTTTCGAGCTTCTATGCAAATGAAATATAAAAACAAACACGATTGGGTAGGAAAGGTCATACACTGGAAATTGTGCAAACGAGTTACGTTCGATCATATAATCTGTAATTTGTTTGATTATACTTCAATCTGTAGATAAATAGTGGGTTTATTTTTTAGATTATAGTTAATGTTTATAATTCATGTTTATAATTGTTGCTATTGCTAAACACTGGTCGTGTTTATTCTTGCGACTAGTTGTAAAAATGGATCAAGTTTATACTTGAATCTTTAGGCAAACACTGGTCGTATTTTCACTTGGGTCTATACCTGAGGACGTGTTTATAATTGACTCTGCACGTAAACACTGACCGTGTTTATACTTGAGTCTATAGGTAAATATTGGTTGCGTTTACGTTGGATACCGTAAGCATCTATCAAGTAGGTGGCCTATTTTTGAAGTTTTTGCCAAAGTTACAGTCGGTGTATTTTAAATCCTGCTGACAGGGCAGTTAATACAAGGGTTGATTAAAAATGGCAGCCATGATAGACGAGAAATGGTCTCAAACGACTTACATTCAATCATGTAAATAAATAATATCGTTTTCTATTACGCTTGGGTGAACAGATAAACACATATCGTGTTTATACTTGAGTCTTTAGATGATGTTTTATACACGAGTTTATGGATTATTGGGCTTATTGGCCCTATTTATATTCGGGTCCGTAAGCATCTACTATTGATAATATTTTCATTTTCAGGGGTGCTTACTTCTGGACGGGAAATGTAACCGATGTTTTCTAGGCTCAAACGACAGGGCCGTGATCACAAGCTGACTCAAAAGTAATTTTAAATCAAGCATGATAGAGGAGGAATGGTCATACAGTGGGATCCTACATACATTCGATCAAGTTCCAGCGCAAAGGGACTCTCACAAAAAAAAGAAGGATCAGATTCTCTGCGACTATGATATCTGAACCGATCAACCAGTCAAATTTGATCTTGCTATATATTTAGACATTTTAAAAAATCTAAAGAATCTGCAATGTTATTGGTCCTGACCTAACATCTCGGCATCAGTCACTTTCCCACCGCCGTAATGTAGCTTCCTATTGCCTTTTCTATAAATATTTCATGGTAATGGTTCTTATGGTCTTTCCTCTATGGTACCTAGACTTCAGGATCAGTACTAGATTGGCATCAGGGTCTCATAATTTTACTATTGAATTGATAAGATGTAACCGTAAATTCTATGCTAACAGTTTCTTTTCGCGCAGGTCTCGCTTGTGGAAGTCTATTCCGGCTGACTGCTTTACAGTCAACTTCGATCTTCAAAAATTTAAATGCAATGTCAATCGTTATCTACTATCTTCTTGATTTCTTTATCAACCCTTTCTTAAATATTTGAAGTTTCACTTCTTAATAATGCTGTTTCCTTTTCTTATTCTTCAACACTAAGTAGTGTGGCAATATGAGTCAGATGGGCTCTTGTTAAATTCAAAAAAATCGATACAGAATATTTACTTCTGACAGATGTTTATCAATAAGTAAAGTCAAATTCAAAGTACAGAGCAATAGGCTCAGACAGAGAGAAAGTCACGGGAGGAAGATTAAATACTCTTTTGATGAAGATGACAAGACAAAGAAAATTGCCATTTAAAATCTTAAGCATCCTGCGAAAAAGCACATAGAAGGGACGAACGGACAAGGAAGACGGCCACTGAACTGTATACTCCCATCACACGCCTCATCTCTATATCGCTCACTTATAGCAGTTCGTTAAAACCCAAGAATAAAACCTGGTTTACTGCTAGAAATTGTTTTGTTCTTTACTCGTGGGTAACGCTCTGGCTTAATGATAGCTTTTAAGCTACAAGCGTTTGACTAGAAGTAACTACAATCTGTTAAAGAACCTGAAAAATTCAAGAAATGTTGAGACTGTCCACACCTTGATTCTCTGGGACGACGACACACATTTTGGTCACCCAGGTTACGCCAGAAAATCAAATATGATCATTTACAAAGAAGGAAATGGGCATACCAAATGAAAGTAAGCGGACTATAGAAAGAAAATTGAAAAGGGGGCAAATTTAAAAGTATCAGGACCTTGCCGGGAATTTTAGATTAGATTGAAATATGAAGATCGTGGAACCGTGTCAGAATTATCAAAGACGATACTGAACAATATACTTCCTCCTCCTAAGAATAATTTCCATTGCCTAGAGGTGAGTTCGAATTCCACTTGGGCTTGTTACATTTAGTTACGTGAAAACACACTTGTTAAATGTATGATTCCTTCCCACACGCAACTATGGGTTAAATAGTAAGATTTTTCATAGAATATTAATGATTTTTACTGAGGAGTTACGGTGGAGTAATGGATAGCGACTCGGATTGAGGAATCGGAGAGCCGTGTTCGAATCCATTGCATTCACCTATGTGCTCATATCGTTGGGAAAGTTATGAATCCTCTTCTTCTCTCCCCCACTCAGTTATGGCTAAATAGCAGGACAAACCGGTTTCCATATCCTTGAATTTCAACTGGTCTACTTCAGAAAGGAATGGCAACCTACTGACTGATTTTTTAACAATCGTTAATGCAGTATTCAATATGTTTTGACGTTAAATGTCAAACAAAGGTCGTTAATCTTCAAAAGAACAAATCAGAATAAAAGTTAAAAACTTAATGACACGGCAAATTTTGGCAATAAGGAAAGGCAACGATCATGGTTATATTCTAAAGAAATATGTAAGACAGGATTATATATATATATATATATATATATATATATATATATACCATACCGTGACTCCTCTTTATATATATATATATATATATATATATATAAAGAAATATAGTCTTAAGGTGTGCTATATTTATGGGATAAAGTGCTCAATATCAGAGATAGAGCGTGTGTAAATATAAGAGTGAACATAGAAGTAAACACTTAGAGGCGACAGTCTGTTTCATGCTATATGCAATCGTCAGGCCACATATGCTGTTATTTTTCTCGGCTATAAATAGCAAATGAAACAGACTGTCGCCTCTAAGTGTTGACTTCTATGTTCACTCTTTTATATATATATATATATATATATATATATATATATATATATATATATATATATCAGATTTGGTCACAATCTTCAAACTGGTTGCCTGAAGATTGTGTGCAAACACATGAAATTTATAGTCGTGGCTAGTCACTGCCTACCTGGTTTTTTGGAATTAATATTTAATCTCTCTCATTTCTTATGGCATTGAACACTTTAATGCCAGTAGGCTATAATCAGGGCAGACTATTTTAGAGTAGGTCATTCTTTCCTAGATTTATATATATATATATATATATATATATATATATATATATATATATGCGGTTTTCTTTTTACCATTTTTATACTCTTGTGGAACTTGTTAATCATTTTATTAACTACAATTTATTTATTTTAATCGCGTTCTAAATTTCTCTCTCGTTTCGTTATTATTGTTCTGTCTTGATGTTTTCTATTTCGCCAACGGTTGCCTTTGAAAAAGTGTTGCTTGAAAGGGTCCTAAGGTATAAAATAACATCTATCTTGTTTATATATATATATATATATATATATGGTCGCAAATCCTTTGTTTTTTGTTTTTGAGTTATTAAGTTTAAAGAAAGTTTACGGTAGAATGCACTGTGTATTTTTTTAAACGAAATATCGTTTCATAAGAGGTAAACATTTTCTTGGCGACAAGTAAAAATTACTCACCTGTTATGTCAAGCATTGTCCGTTGAGAGTGTGAGTCTGACCTCGTGTTGGACCTAAGAGCGAAAAGACGGGCACTCCTTTTGTCTCGTCTTGACTGAGGAGGAAGTAACGTGTAGCGATTCTGATTGGTCACTTGCCATTTCAAGATCAGCCGTGACAGTTCTTTATATGTCCGTTGTTGTGCGCTTGATAGATATTTGCTTCACGATCGCCTGCAGGAATAGGTATTGTTCTGGTAGAATCGCTTGGGTGAACAGGTATGATGTTGAAACACCCGAAACTTGTCATGACCCAAAGTTATAACATCACTGATGTGGCGATCCTGCGCACCTGTTGGGGTGTATTCATAACACACACACACACACATATATATATATATATATATATATATATATATATATATATATATATATTTCCCCAATTATGAGTTAAATAGTAGAACTTGCATCAGGAAGATATTGTTGTTATTCTCAAAAAATTGATAATGTAATATTCGCAGAAATAGTATTGTTCTTACAATCCAAAATACGTATCGGCTTTAAATAACCCGGAAAAGGGTTGTTAATCCGTAAAAGACCAAGGAACTCCCAGTAACAGTGAGAATACTGAGTAACGTCCTGGACATGTGAGGAATACATTTTCTCAGAAAAATAAACTCCAAATAAAATAAACATTTGGGGCAAACATCTAACTGCATGAAAATAATAATGTTATTAATAAAGAAAGAAAGACATCCATTATATCATCATACTTATTATAAAACCCAGGTTGTGTGTGTGTGTGTGTATGTGTGTGTGTGTGTGTCTGTATGTTTATATATTGGATCGGATTTTCTACACTTTTCAACCGATTTCAACAAAACTTCATAGGACAACGTAAAATTACCTTGCGGTGGTTCTGACAGCGCCAAAAATTGAAAAAAAACAATTGTTTTTGCACGAAATCAATTTGAAAACACGATTAAGAGGCATCGCTATTGCGAGAATGAAAGGGGGACAACTCATATCTTGTTATACTTATTATAAAAACCCAGGTTGTGTGTGTGTGTGTGTGTG